TACCGGCGGCCATTTTAAGAGGTCTGGACTTCAACTCCCAGAATTCCTCAGCTCAGCAATATTTCTCTACCGGCGGCCATTTTAAGACTTCCGGACTTCAACTCCCAGAATTCCCCAGCTGAGCAAATTTCTGAACCAGCGGCCATTTTAAGAATTTTTTTGTTGTGGAGTTCAGTGAACCGGCTGAATTGTGGGCCTCTCCTCTTCCCACCTGGCAAGTGGCCAGGTGAGGTCGGGTGGGGGGCGATGGTGGGAGTGGTGTCAAGTTGGCCATGCCCACCCAGTCCCACGCCCACCTGGCCATGCCCACCCATCCAGTTGCCAGGGCAGAGTAAGCCACACTCACCACAATCCAGGAGAGCGCAAGGGCACTGGAGAAGGGAGAGGCCGAGTGAGGACAGAGGCACCCAGAGGGCATCCCGGCAGAGAAAGGTAGGGATCGATTAGGCAAGCAAGCAAGCAAAAGAGAGAGCTGGAAGGGACCCCGGAGGTCTTCCAATCCAACCCCATCCTCGAGCAGGAGACCCTTACAGAACCACTGAGGAGGAAGGGATTTTAGAGGTCATCTAGTCCAACCCCTTGCTCGAGCAGGAGAGCCTTACAGAATGACAGTGTAATGAAAGAGGCCTTGGGGGGTCATCTAGTCCAACTCCCCCCCCTTTGAATCCTCTTACCATCACAGTTCTCCTGGGTGCAGGTGAAGACTCCCCTCTGGCAGACGCTGTGGGGCCAAAGGAGGGAAGAGCCCATCAGGACAAGGTTCTAGTCCTCATGAAGGAGCCACTTTTTCTGATCGCAACCTCCCTCGCGGGGACGGGGTGAGGCAAGGGGAGAATGTGGGCAGGCCTTGGCTTACAACAGTGGATGTAGTGGCCGTTCAATGGTGACAACGGTGTGGGAGAATGATCTTGTTTCACCCTTATGATTGTTTAGCGACTGTTCAGTCCCAACGCCAGGGAAAAAAGGGAGTTAGGACCATTTCTCTGAATTTACGATGGTTGCAGCTTCGCCACCGACTCGTGTTTACGACGGTTGGCGGCCTCCTGGGGTATACATGGTTCCCCTTTTGGCGACGGGGAAGCTGGATGGACTACCCAACCCTGAAATCTGCAGGGATTCCCTTAGTGATGGGGAAAGCCATAAAACGGGGACAAGAATTCGCTGGGCTGATTTTTTTCACACCAACGTGGGGTTCGAGGGCCGAAGGATAGGCTGGTGGGCACCAGGTTGGGGAAGGCTGGGGGTGCCCAGGATCCCATGCAAATTCGGGGTTCCGTTTGAGGGTTAGGGTCTCCCTTGGCCTCTTTGGATTGGTCGCCCAACTGGGACTGGCTCACCAGGTGTTGCATTCGTGTCGAAAAGTACTACCGGGCCCATGCTCCTGGGTGCGCTTTTCCTCGGATAAGTTGGCAGCCCAGGGCGCGGCGGGCACCTGGCTGATCACGCAACGGCACTCTTCCGGGCGGACGCACAGCCCGTCCTGCAACACCTGTGGGACAGCAGGCCAGGGTTTCTCAGACTTCAATGCCCAGAATTCCCCAGCTGAGAAAATATTTCCCCACTGGTGGCCATTTTAAGAGGTCTGGACTTCAACTTCCAGAATTCTCCACCGGGGGCCATTTTAGGAGGTCTGGGCTTCAACTCCCCCAGCTTAGCAACGGAGTTCAACTTCCAGAATTCCTCAGCTGAGCAATATTTCTCCACCAGCAGCCATTTTAAGATGTCCGGACTTCGACTCCCAGAATTCTCCAACTGGCGTTGCATTTAGAAGGGCTAAGTTGGGGAAAACATGGCGGTAGATAGAGGGGTGGAGGGGCCGTTTGGATGGGGCTTGGCGGAGGAGGCCGACACTCACCTGGCCAGGTGGGCAAACACAGCCAGGCTGGCATTCCTCTTGCAGGCATTGAATTTCCAGTCGGAGGTCAGAGCAGGTGTGCGGACAGGTGTTGGCACAATCACGGTAGATTTGGGTCCCAGGGCATTCTGGGAAAGAAGGGCAGAGAGTGAGTGCAGAGCCCCCACGCCCCAGTCCCAGTTGCTGATAGTTGGGAAGACCCTGTAATCCTAACCCCCTACCATCAACCTCTAACCCCCTAACCATAATCCCCATAAACAACCCCTAAACTTAACTCCTAACCCCCTAACCATAATCTACCCCTCCCCTTACTCCCCTGCCCCCACCTTCACCCCTAATCCTAAACTCCTCCAGCCCAAACCCCTAACCCTATTCCTAAATCCTACTCCTACCCCTACCTCCAATCCCCTAAACTCCTATGCTCCTCATCCCCTAATGCTAATCCCCACAACCCCTACCAACCTTGAACCCTAACCTCCTAATCCCAATTCTACTCCCCCTAACCTCTATTCTTATTTCCCTAATCTTATCCTTCCTCTTATCCTTTAATCCCCTAACCTTGATCCTCTAATTTAAGGGTGGATAATTAATATTCCCAAGAGGGCCACATGAGGGCGCTGGTTGACCAAAGAAGAAAATGACTGCGCAGAGTCGGATGGGATTCGACTTCTTCTCCTGCACTCTGCTCATTATTTATGTTTAATTTTAATTTCCAAGTCCCCTCATGCCAAAGGGCCAGGTGTGGGGGTATAAAATACCCAGGTCTGCTCTAACCCCTAACCCTTACTGTCCTTTTCAAGAACCGGTTCCCTGTTCGGACATCCCACCAGCTACATTTCCTGAACAGGCACCGAGGCTCACCCAGTGTGCAATTCTGCAGGTGGCATATGCGGTGCTGCAGGAGCAGGGAGGGGCAGGGCTGCCCCAGAGGGGAGAGCAGCTGGCGGTGCCTCTCGGAGACCCCTCCTCCACAGCTGGCGCTACAGGGGCTCCATGTGGTCCAGTCACTGAACAGGCAGCCAGCTGTGGGGAGACGAGGGGGGGGAGAATTGTTGTAAGTTGAGGGCTACCGATGGAAGAGGGAGGGAGGGAGGAAGGAAGGAGGGAGGAAAGGAGGGGGAAAGAAGGAAGAAAAGGAAGCACTGAGAGGAAGAAAGAAGCGGTGAAGGAAGGAAGGACAAGAGGAAGGGTGGGAGGAAGGAAGGAAGAAGGAAAGAAAGGACCGATAGGGAGGGAGGAAGGAAGGAGGAAAGGAAGAAATAAAGAAAGAAGGACTAAGGGGGGGGG